CATTTAAAGGAGAAGATATTAATAGAGAGAACTTCCTAGAGATCCCTGGATTTTGAGGTTAATCATTGTTCTTACTCAGAAGCGGAGAGATGAGATCTCTCCGTATCATCTCAGTATTTTCAATTCTCAAGCTCTTTGCTTTAAGCATCTGTGTCCCTAGGCCCCTCAGGTGATGCTGGGGTCAGGATTCCTGAAGCAGTCTTGTGTCTCCTCCAAGGAGGTTGGCTGAGCCATCATGAGGCACAGATGAAGAAATACCTCCTCTTTTCCTTTCCTTTGTTTGCTAATAGAGGCTTCCTTCCAGTTTAAGCTTTGGTGCCTTAATTTAGCTGTAGGTTGGAATAAGTAGATTGTGGCAAAGGAAGAAGCACAGATTTCCTATGTACAGTGGGATCAATTGGCTCCGCGAGTCTGTGAAAGGAAGCATTCAAGATAAATGCACGGAAAGCTATTTCCTCAGGCGCTGTTCAAAGGCTCCTTCCAAAATCCTTTTATTTCATCAGTGCTTAATATAACTTAAAGTAACCTTTCTGATGGCCTTCATGCAAGAAAGAGAGGGGTATGCATCTATACATACACATATATTCATATTCGTGAGCTATATATGTATATGTATTCAGATAACTGTCTTTTAAAAACTAGCAAACTTGTATGTAAGGAGAAAATTAATTCTATATTTATGGAAATATTAGGGAAAAAAGGCTGTACCTGCCACTTTGTATAGAGACATAAGTAACATTTCAAAAACAATATTTATTCCAAACCATATAAAATAATTTTAATTATACTAATATTTCGTCTAGTCTTCTAGTAGAATATTTCTATGCTTGGCATTTTCCTAATCTTTCCATCATGAAATGTGTCTTCAGGGCTTCTGGTACAGTGTATTCCTATCTTTCTCTCTATCTCTCTGACAATTCTAGACCTTTCCTTCACCTCCAGCTAATCAAAGCCCTGTCTTTCAGATTTTCCTGAGTAGCTGTGCCCTTTGTCAACCTTGAAACATTCACTAGCTCACCCATTTTACCCCAAGAAGGACTAGATATAAATCACTTCAGACCAATTAGACTTGACAACTTTCCTCTAAAATTTGTAATAAAAGAGAACAGGAAGAAAATACAATGAAGACTACATTAAGTTATAGTTTACAGCTGGTTTAAACTTAAAAGAACTATATAAATGCAAGTGAAAAAAAATCAATATTCAAGTAGCTGATATTGTAATTCCAAGATAATGACACTACTTTGTCACTAACCTTTGTGTAGTTCATTTTCATGTCTTTACTGATTATCATGTATGTGATCACTCATCAGCCAAAGATGGAAGAAAAAACATGTATTGTGTTGCTTTTAATGATATGAGATCAATAATAATGATAAAAGTGTAAATCAACCTCTGATGATGTATTATTTATGCCATTGGTGATTAGATGCAAAACACCGAAGCTGCTCTTTCAACAAGTACCTTTCTCATCAATTTTAATTCTTCTCTTCAAAATGCGTAGAATTTCATCATCACCTTCAATAATAACAATGAACATTTTTTGATCAGCTTCTAACAAGAAGGCTATATGCTGGAAGCAACAGAAAGATGAGATGTAGTATCTGCCCTTAGAGAACTTATGGGGTATCTGACAAAAGAACTAAACATCTGAGAACAGAAATAACAATACAAGGCAGCGTAAAAGCAGCAAACTAGGTGCCCTTGATAGGACTATGGAATTGTGAGGGACAGAGAAGCTTCCTAACATGAAGTCAGTCGAGAACAAGATGACTAAGGAGATGGTACAATCTGAGCCGAAATGCAAAATGAGTAGCTCTAGTTAATAGTGAAATGAAGCCACATCAATTTGCCGAAAACAAATAAGAGAAAAGTTCAGGGATTCTAGAAAGAAGCAGCTCGGGGAAAGAGCAGTAGGTTAAGAGAAAAGTGATGGGTAGCCCTGCTAGAGACAAAACCACTCCACCAAACCACCGTGGGAGCACACAGCCCATCACTGTCCAGGACGGAGAGTATTTATCACGCAGTATGGTATTCACGTGGCTCCCTCAGCTTCTGGATCAGCTCAGCTCTTCACACCGGAACGATTTATTGCCTAATTATTTAGTTTGCCCTTTTGAAGAGTCTGTCTGCAGGACCCTTTCTGAGAGGGAGCACAAAAAGAGTGGGCCCTTGAAAAGTCATCTCCTCTATTGCATTAAAAGCAAAGTAACCTTTTATCAAAAGCTTTGTGACCATTTAGAATATTGAATTTGTATTTTAATCACTGAGTTCAACAGGAATGTAGCCAGTGGGAAGGACTTAATTACAAACGATGTTTCTCATGGTTATGCCAGCAGTCCCAGGAGGAGCTTTAATGAAGTTCCGAGCCCTCACACAGCAAAGGTCAAGTGATTTTGGTCCCCAGTACCTCAAAGTGCACATAGCTGAACCTTTATCTTAGCAGATGTTCAACCAGGTATAATATTAGCCTGAGGCAAAAATTCCAGGAAACCCGAGTTCACAGGGAAGCAGTCCTCTGGAGTTCAGGGGGTGGTCGACCAGCCTGTTTCAGAGTTTGAAGAGGGGGTGAATGTAGATAATCTCCACTTGAATATAAGTGTAAGGTCAGCAATAGGGTCCTATGAAGTTCTTTGGCTGAACATTAACTCAACACCAGAAAATATCTTCTCTCAACAGACATTTAAAACTAAAGCAAAGATGACTTTAACAAATTAGCAAATCATGTGAATCAAAAAAGTAAATGCTCAGGCCAGGGATTTAGCTCAGTGGTTCCACCTGCCTCAAAAGCAGAAGGTCCTGAGTTCAATCTCCGGTACCAAAAAAAAAAAGGAAATGTTCATAAGTCAGCTAAACTAGGTCCGAATAAAACTTAGAAACGTGCACTCTAAAGTGGTCAAATGTTTGTTATTAGAAAGACTGAAAGTCTTTTAGCAAGGACTAGTAACTAGGCACCTGGGAAGGGCAGCCAGAAACGGGAGGAAAGGGCTGACAGCCGATTTCTGTGGAGCAGGGGACTAAGAAGCTGTCACTGTTCTGGGCACCTTGGTCAAGACTGGAGTCACTCCTGAAGCTGGAAAGAGCTGTAGGGCCACTCTGCTGTGGGTGATTTCCCGAAGACGTTGTCCAGCCTGGCTAGTCAAAAGCTTCACATTAGTCTCTGTTAAGGCGCTGCTGGCCTACGTGGAGCAGAGCAAACCACAAACGCAAGGGTCCAAGTGCCATCCAGACCCAGCTGATGTGCTCCTCCCAGGCAACCACCGGAAATTAGCTTTTTTCACCAAAGAAACAAGATCAGTGTATAGACTGCTTTTATGTAACAGCAGCCTCTCCTCAGCCGCTCTTCACTGTAAAATCTGTAGTATTTATGTTTCTAAGACTCATTCCTTTATGTTCTGTAAAATATACACCACCCTAAACATCGTCAAGAAATAGCATAAGAAACGCTTTCACAGGTGAAAAGCAGAGGCATATCCTATTTTTATTGGCAGTTTTCGCGGGCCTACATTAAGAGAATCTCAATCGCCACTCAATGAAGCTCATGAAATTGCGGAACTCTCAGTGTGCTGCGTGTGTGGAGAAATGGAAGGAAGAAGAGAGAGAGAGAGAGGGAGGGGGGGGAGGGAGGGAGGGAGAGCGCGCCAGCCTTGCCCAGGGTTTGGAGTGTCAAGAGTGGTGTCGAGTTGCCTGTCCAAGGGTTCACTTCTGATTCTTTCCTTTCAGACAGAACTGTCTTCGTGAAAGGAGGAGGGCTGTGCTTGGCTTGGCCCAAAACTTCTTTCCAGAGGCGCGTGACTGACCAAACACCCACGGCGAGGGGAGTCTGACCCAGGATCCGCGCAGCGCACCAAAGACGGGCGGCACGGCGAGAGCCCACCGCGGCCCTGGCTGTCCGTCTTTTCTGAGCTCTTCGCAGCCTCGCCCGAGCTCAGAAGGAAGCGGGAACCAGCGCCGCAGGGTTGATCTCCTGGACAATAGCGCCGCTCTCCGCCACGCGCCACGCGGACCACGCCGGCCACCCCGGGCCCCGAGGACCCCGGCCCCGCGCCGCCCTGCGCCACCACCCGACCCGACCCGACCGGACCGGACCAGACCGCCCATTCCCGCCGGCTGTTTGCCGTCCGGGTCCCCGGCCCGGCCCGCCCCTCCTCCGGGCGGCTTCCCCGGCCTTTTGCTTCCTGCGGTGCGTTCCTTTTTTCCCTCTCCTAGGCTCCATCAAAGGTTGCTCTGTTATTGAAATATGAAGCCATTTCCTCTCCAAAACCCTAAGTTACTCAAGGCGGGAATCAATGGGCCTGTATACTCTCCCTGGAGTTATAAATAAACGTCTGTTTGTTCAGCAGGCGTCCTCCCGCGGTTATTTGGGGTGGGGAGGCGCGCGCCTGTGTGCGCGCGTGTGTGTGCGCTCCCCGTCCGCAGCTGGTTCTAACCCCGGCGTCGGCCCCACACGTCCCGTCTGGCCCTCGCATTCCTCGGTCCTGAATGCGTCCGGGCTCTCGGGGCACTGTCCTGCGGGACACTACAGCAGTTGGTGCCCGAGAGCGAGACTGAGTTCAGTAAACACGAAAATGTGCTCCGGGCTCCTTGGGCGGAAGTGGAGGAGGCTCTCTGCGCCTACCACGACTGTCTCGGTTAAAGGAGGGCCTTTCTAGCCTCAGAGCCAACTTTTAAGCAGAGGAGGGGGTAGTTTCGGGGGCCTCGCGGGTCCCCCCAGCACGCAGGAGCCGGGAGGGCGCAGGCTGCGGCCGTGCCGACCCCCGACGGGGCAGCGGGACTGAGCAGGGGCGACTCTGGGAGGTCCGGCCCGGCCGCTGCTCCCCTCCTCCCAGGAGCGCGAGGCGCTGTGGGCTGCAGTTGGGGTCTCGGAGGAGAGCGTCCTCGGTAACGCTCTGCTTTGCTCCTGCCCTTGGTGAGAAAGCGCCTCCTCCTTCGCAGGCTCAGGACCTCTGCCATCCAGCCACAAAGAGACATTCTTGCGCACCAGCGCACGCGCGCGCTCACCCCACCCACCCGCACCCCCACACTCGCCCAGAGACAAACTTAAGGTGAGGGGAAGGCGCGCTAGCGGCACTGCATCCCCTGACTCCAGCTCAGTGGGAACTGAGAAGATCCGAACTGCTGGACTCCAGGACGAGGTAAAACCTCCATGAGACTTTCCTTCCTCTCTGGCATACCTTGATGGCTTTAACATTATATTTATATATAGATAGATATAACAAATGTTATTCTTCTCTTTCATTTACACTTTTTTTTTCTTGGTACCAGGGATCGAACTTGGGACCTTGCCCTTGCAAGGCAGGCGCTGGAACCACTGAGCTAAATCCCTCGCCCTCATTTACACTTAAGTTTAACAGGACTCCAAAAGTGTTTAAGGTTCACATTGTCAAAGGAAATACTACTGCAGCAAAGAGGCCCAATCTAGAAGTGAGAAAAGAGTTAACTCTAGTTTTTCTAGCTTTTGCTAGTGATATTATGAATCTGGTAGGCACCTGGTTTCCAAGGGGAGACTTTTCCATCTGGATTTCCACAAGCATTTTTATAGCATCTGAGGTGAAAGAAGGCTAGTAGTGTAAGTTGAAGAAGAGCTGACAAATGGAGATGTCCATCCTAGATTTCTCACTTATGTCTTAGGGAATATAAAGCTTTATGTGGAAAAGAAAGTTATTTTAGTCATAGATGATACCTGTTCGATTAAGAATCGTTGAAGTGCTGTTTTGATCTGGGCCTCTCCATTTAATTATAAAATTAAAATCAGTTGTGATGCTTTTCATACATAGAACAATGCGTGGAAAAAGCTTAAAGTCATAGTTGTTAAGATTACTTTTAAAAGTTGTTCTAAGGAGTTATTTCAGTAGTGAGGCTACTTGGCACCGAAAGCAAACTTGAACTATTTGGAGATTGGATTAATTTGTTTCCTTCCATTGAATGTGGCTGTTATGTTCAAATTAAGATGGTTTATTATTGTGAAAATAAGTTGTTGTATTTTCCTTTATCACTGGAAAAATACGCAAAGTGGCTGGTACATTTGGGAGATTTTAGGGTGGGAAGTGTTCTAGTGCATGTTCCAGTGCAATGCCCTGAAATCAAGCAAGCATCTTGGTAGCCAGCAGCCCTTAAGAAATAAATCCTGTGAATTAATTTCTAACTGAATGTAGTATTTATTCATTGCAAATGTAGCTTCTGGTAGCCATTTCTATTTGATTATTTCTGTGTCCTACATTTGAAGTAATTTTAAGCACATTTTAGTGACTTCAATATTTCAGTGGAATCGTAAAGTAGAAATAGCATCAACCCAAAATACATCATTACAGTTCTCTCTGGAAAACATCTCGTAACTTTTCTTAATCCTTACATCAGTTCTCAACTTCAGTTCCACGTAACATGAAAGAAAGAAATTTTTTCTTCCATTCAGTAATATATGTCAAAAGCAAAATGACCATTTAAGCTTAGTCTTTAATCCATTTTATACATGTAGTCTTAAATTTTCAGGTGTTTCAGCTAAATGAATGAGTTTATGGCCATGCTTTTAGCTTTTGGTGATCTTTCCACTAAATTGTAAATAGCTTTTACAGACCGTACAACTAGATAAGAAGTAATTTTGCTCAGACTTAATTAAGAAAGAGAAAACGAACAACCTCAAGAGGCCTCTGGTCCAGGGAGGAATGTACCCAGAGGCCAGGATTCCAACCAGGGGTGCCCCACAGGCCTACGCTTTCAAGGAGAATAAAAAAGGGGCCCCGTTATGTTCTTATAAAGTGACCCATTTATTTTCAAGAAGACTTCTCTCTCAGAGGAATGACTGACACTGTAATTTAGAAGTCCTGAGGAAACTTTTACAGAGAAGAATCAATTCATTATATCCCCAGTGGTTTCATTTCATTTTCCTTCCTTTGGGAGCAAGTAACACATCCAGGATAAATACATTTGGAGTGTGTAGAAAGATACTTTGTGAGTAGAACATCTACCAAACAGTCCGGCCTTTCAGCATCTTGGGTGTGGAATTGTGATATTTTCTGAGCAGCTGAAGAAGTCTTTTGAATCTTAAGGTAGGCTTGGAGTTCATCTTCGCAGAGATGAATGAGACTCGTATTCAGAGAATGACTCCTTTCTTCAGAAAACATCAGTTTCCATTTCCTTTTCCCCCACGCATATTTTATTTCCAGACTACATGTTTAAGATGAATGGGATCCCACCAAATAAATTACAACAGAATGCTAGGAAAATCTGAAAATAACTGATATTACAACCTTCTGTTGCTTCTAATTAATTCTCCGCCATCCTGCAGTCATGATTGCTAACCATAGTGCTTAGTCCATGTCATTAAACATACTCCGCCTGTCGTGTGAAGGTAACAAAACCCTGGGGGAAGTAGGGAGCAATGGAGACCTGGATGCACTCGGGATTTTAATCAATAGTGTTTAAGGAGGATTCGGGGAAAACAGCTGGTTAAACAAATATTAGGTATAGAGAGGACGCAGTAGTATAAATTAATAAGCGGCTCTATTTACACTGCAAAGGAGGAGGTTGGTGTGGGGCAGTGTGTGACGCACGGTCTCTGCTCGCCCCCTAGTGGATGAGTGAGGAAAAGCTTTCTCACCAGCCTGAAATCATTTCATCGAACACCAAATGCCGGACATTAGGGTAGGTGGTCAGAGCAGAAACTAAAGCAAGTGACTATTATACAGTCTAAAAATCAAAACACCTCTTAGTCTACTACATTCCTGGTGTTGCATTAAAATTGCTTTACTCTTCACTGGGTAATTTGCCATCAACTTTTTGCCTCCTTGAGAATGGTGTCTGGGGCAACCACTGGCTTTTAACACAAGGTTGAAATTGTCCATACACAATTTCAAAGCGGGAAACTTGCTTCGATTTGGTTGATAGAATAGAAAAAAATCCTAGACAAGGACAATTACACAGAACACCACTGTTTGAAAGAAGTATTGGGATCTCACAGAAGGTTCACTCCTCTGAGTGTTGCGGTGTTGAAAATCTTTTCTCTAGGAGATATGAGAATGATTCCTTCATTTGGCTTCTTGCAGGATTTGAGTTGATAGCAGTAGTGTTCAGCACGTCCGTTACTAATTGGAACAAGTGGTAAAATTCAGATTGGAAGGTAAAATGTCTCAGCAGGGGAAATGAAGAATTGGTTATTTGCTGAGTTCCCATGGCGTGGTCCATAAATCCAGTTAGGTTGGTTGTTGTCCAATGGAAGCCTCTGCTTTTAGGGGGTTTCTGTTTTTGTTGTGGCAGGGAGACCTATGCTGTGAAAGGAGAGCTTCTCATCTGGTCCTTTGTCACCAGTGCCACAAAATTCTAGCTTGTCTTGATCAGTGGGGATGGCTGGAAACAGAACCATCACTCATGTGAAATAATGCACATTGTCTTTATCTTTACTTCCATTGGTCATTATCCAGTTGAAGGACTTCTGTTAATTTCTTCTGACCACTTTTGTGACTTAGAGTGAATCTTGTAGTCACTGCAGAGGCAGAGCTGTGAGAGGTAGCCTAAAGACCAGAGGCCTTGAAAATAGAAGTTTAATCGTGGATTGTAAAACTATGATACAAGAAGGTTTAATGATTTCAGAAGATATAATGATACTCAACATGAACACACTCCAACCGACAGAACTGTTCACTCTCTCCATGGGCTGGTGCTACTGGGTTCTTGGTTATATTATAATGCTCTGTGATGGTTTCACCCGCGAATGGAAATGTGACAGGGAATTGCTGGAAGATTCCCAGCCGATTCTTAAAGAAAGCCAGAATTTTGTAGTTAACAGCTGTGATAATTTAGGTGCAGGTATAGCCATTCACAAAACAAAAATGAAAATCTACATAGTAGAAATCACAGAACAGGGACTGATTCTCCGATTTGTCAAGAGAGAAATTTCCCCTCTGTCAAACCTAAACATCCAAACAGGGCACAGTTGACTTGGTTGATGACCACATTGCTGTCACTATAAGATCCAATTAAACTAAGTAATAATTTTCACACAGGCTTACAGAAAATATCTCTGTTCTGCCTCCATCCACACTCTATGATGTTCTCTCACTTTGACTGTTGCTTTGAGTTCTGAGGGTCCTCATTCAATCCTTCATTTCTTCCTTCAGTGGAAACTTGCAGAGCACTGGCTGTTGCCAGGCACTGTGTTAGTTCTACATGCTGGGATTTCCCCTCACTTCACACTAAGGAAACCCATTCTAAAATAATCAGAAAATCAAAAATCACTGATAATAAACCTAAAATATCGCAAGCTCCTGAAGTGCACTTCAAAGAACAGAACAACCAAAACGTTCTAGCCTCAGCTTTAGTAGTAAGAGAATTTTGAGCATTCATCTTTAAAAATCATTTTCCTTGGGCCAGGGATTTAGCTTAGTGGTTCCACTGCCTGCCTCGCAAGCACAAGTTTGGTCCCCAGTACCAAAAAAAAAATAAATCATTTCCCTTTATTTGTCACCACCTAGCTGCAAGGAAAAGACCTTTGAGTCTTCCTACAGGTAGAGCCTAGGAAGGCATGTTTGATACTCCCAATATCCAAGGAAGCTGGAATTCCAATTATGTCTGCTAATGTGGATTGAAAAGACAAAGACGAGTTTGTACATAGTTCTTGTCCACCAGTTTGCAACAACTAAAATTCATACCAAGCAAGCATGATTTAGTGCTTACCGTTTGCACTAGTTAGGGACCATCCTATGCTTGGCTTGCGTAGCAATTGGCCCACAGAGTTCACAATCCAGTGGAGGAGTCAGATGGGCACACACCAGTAAAACTTGCCTCCCTAGACTCCTGGGTCTCCTTCCTGAGCACTTACATTCCCAGCCCCTCATCTCATAAACTGAGACTGTCCTCCACACTCCTGCACCCCTAAGGGAATCTGATACTTCCCTGGTTTATTGATTTTTTAACCACACTTAAGTGTGAATGACTTTAACTCATGCCTGTGCATTTCAAGCCTTTTATCTCTTAAAGTAAATGTTTTGTTTGCTGTAAAAAGAATTCAAAACATCTGGAGGGCTTCCCATCCTGACACCAAAGGGGGTCATTTAGCCTAATTAAGTCCACTCTGTTATCCCTGCTCCTTCTGTGAGGACAGAAGGATCCCTGAAGGCCCATTTCCAGGACCTCAAAGGCT